GGGCTCTGACTCACGCGTGCTGAGCCAACAGCAGCGGGGATGCGGGATGCCAGCACTCCCACCTCACCCTCCCTGCCCCAGCTCTTTGTTTCTGCCCCTCTGCCAGCAGTCACGGCCCCACACCTGCCAAGGCAATAAATAGACACGTGCCTCTGAGCCACAGCTTCTCCACGTGGGCTTCTCTGTTATCAGCAGTTCAGGTAGAAGCCTCCATCCAAGGTGCCACAGGATGAGGCAGGGAGGACCAGCCTCAAGTTCAGCAACTGGGTGACATGGTTTAGTGCAAGGTGTCCCTACCCATGGCAGGGGGGTTGGAACTAGATGATCTCAAGGTCCTTTCAAGCCGAACTATTCTATGACTCTATGCCTAGCAGAGTCTCCATTTCCCTGTTTTGGTGGCACCAGCAGCAGAACAGCTTTCTCAGCACAGCTTATAGAGGTTATAATACACTTGCAGTTGGGCCCCAAGGGTGCAGGCTCAGCTCCTGTGACAGCCCCTGCCCCTTCCACTGCCCTCTCTCAGCAGTCCCAGTGCAATACCCTCAGACCCTGCTGCCTGCCCAAGAGAGGGCACACAGGCAGAGGAGCTGGGAAGAGTCTCTCCAGGTTAAAGCATGCCCTGTATCACAAAGTCTGGGTCATTGCTTGGGATGCGGGCTCTTGCAAGATGGCATTAGTTCCAGGGAGTGAGAAGGGAACAGCTAAGGGGACAGGATGAGGAACAAACCTCATCCATGAAGTAAAATTGCAAATCCTGGTGCAGAGTCATAGAATCCCAGCCTGGTTTGTGTTGGGGGGACCTAAAAGCTCATCCAATCCCAACCCTTGCCACAGGCAGGGACATCTTCCACTATCTACTACCTACAGGTTGCTCCCAGCCCCTGTGTCCAACCTGGCCTAGAACACTGCCAGGGATGGGGCAGCCACAGCTTCTCTGGGCACCCTGTGCCAGCGCCTCAGCACCCTCCCAGGGAAGAACTTCTGCTTAAGAGCTCATCTCAGTCTCAGCCAGCCACTGAGGAACACCACTCATCACTGATCTCCACAAAGAGAAGAAGAGACACATTCAACAGAGCTTCTGTATTAGAAGAAAAGTTGAGAGGAGGCAGCAAGACTTTGCAAGAAGTTGAGAACTTGGGTGAAGCTTTGGGAGAAAGAAGACTCACACACAGGGAGGATTAGGGCGTATCTCTGTGTAAGTCTCATGTGAGACCCAGAAAGCTGCACCCTTGTGCTCCTTGGGCTCCCCCATCTCCCAGCCCACTCCCATGTCAGCATCCTGAGCATCCCAGGCCTTCTGACCACAGGCAGGAGAATGTAACCATTAGGAGGAGCTGGGAAGGAGGACTCACCAGGAAATCAGCCTCTCTTTATGACCTCCTTATTGATGAATCAGGGAAGATGCGGATTCATGACATCCTTCCCAGTTTTATTCATCGTGTGGCACAGGATGTCTCAGTGCTGCTTGGGTGCTTTGCTCATGCCAAGGATGCCAGAGATTTTGGTGTGGGAAAGACTCATTCTTCTCAAGGATGTTCATATGGGCCAGGCATCATGTATCTGGGCCAGGATCTCTCTTAGTTTCAAATCCACCTCTGCCACCTTCCCTGGCTGACACTATACCTCACCTGCCTCCCTTTGCACTGGGATGGGCAAGTCACCACTTGCTTCTCACTGAGATTCCCTGGGGAACCATAGAGCTTCTTTCAGCATGTGAGCTCCATCCTCTGCTCACACAGTCCATCCAGGAGTTATAAGTGAGTAAGAAGCAAATTCCCCCCAGACTTCCTCAACTGTTGATAGCAGAGGGTGAGAGCAGCTCGCTGGGGATTGTCTTTGGTCTTCTGCTTCAAGCTGCACTGTCTGTCCTGGAAAGACACCCAGCCTTGACTTAGTTGTGTGTAACGGAGGCCCCACCAAGCTGTAACTCAAGCTGCTTCAGTGGTTCATTACCCTCTCATTTCACATCGTCCATGGATTTGGGAGGCTTTTGTAAGCCCTGGCACCTTTGGGAGGTGTTGCACAACTCGGGGCTCCCAGGTACGCTCCTCTTCATGGAATTAACACAATAAATGGTTCAAATTCCCAAAAAGCCAGTCCCTGGAGCAGATCTGGTGTCACAGCAAACACTGTTGTGTGATCCCTACTCTTCAGGGACATCTTGGATCTTGCTCTGACCCTGCCTTGTGATGATGCTGAATGTGTTGTCTCCTTCGCTTCAACAGGAAGAACTGATGAAATAATAAACTTTTATGTTTCAGAAAGCACCATATTTCTTCTTTTCCCAACTCTAAATGAAGGAAAAATGGTTGATTTGGGGAAAATGTTTAATTGCTGCTAATTTTCTTGACATCCTGAATGGGATTCAGGAGGAAAATCCTTGTAAAGCAGTCACCCAAAAGTGTTCTATTCGTGCAACGCTTGAACTCAATAACAAAACAAACTCAGTAAAAGTGGTGTGACGTGAGAATAGAATTCTTTTGGATAATAAACCAGGAGTTGGGGTGAAGCTGAAAAGCGGCTCCAATCGGAATCCCGAGAAATGGAGGCAGCAGCATTTTGCTGTGTGCTTTTTGGTGAAAACTGGTTTACTGGGATTTAGCCAGCTCTGCAAGGGTGGTATGGATCAGTCCCTCCCCTAGGAAAAACAGGGTTGGGATTGGGGTGTGTGCGCGTGCGCCGGGAACCTGCCTAGGGGCACACTGATGATTTCAGGCTGCATTGCTACAAAAAAAAATCCCCTCCCCCCCCTCTCTCCCCCTGCCCATTTGGGTGCACAGATATAAACCCTCCAGCCAATATGTTTCCTTTGGGGGACTGGCAGGTTTGCCTGGAGGGTGCGCATGGCTCTTGTCTTATCCCAAGGCTTTCCCTAGGGAAGGAGCGAGGGTATTTTCTGGCAGCTGCTCCCAGTGAGCTCACACCGTGGGCACTCCTTCAGAGCTAGAGCGGCAGGGCAGGTTGCTGCTTCAGCTTTGCTAGAAACCTTGGAGCTCCCGACGCTTCACCTCCCCGTGTGGAAGCAGAGCTGGTCCATCCCAAGGGAACACAGGTAAGCCAGGCTGGGATGAGAGGCGAGCAGCAAGCCAGCAGCCGCTGGGCACTCTGGTCATTGCTTTGGGTTTGTCTGTTCCCTTTTACTTCTTCTGTCTTGTGTCTCCTCCATCCTTCACCATCTCCTGGCTGACATCTGCTCAGCTAGGAGATGGGATTTACCATTTTCACTCTGATTCTTCTTTTCTCCTATGCAACCACTTGCACTGTTGTAAAAGCTTAATGCAGAGCACCGTGATCAGGAGAGTCACCTTGGTGTGGATGAACATGTGGAAACCCAAGATCATGAAGAGTCAAACCTCAAAGCAATCTGCCTGCCATTTATTTTATTTTCTTCTTTCTATATCTGTGATCTGCCCTGCTCTGGGGAACCAACCAGCCCGGATTAAAGAGAGGGCATCATTAACTTGCAATTGTAAAAGAACAGGGGAGGTTTATCCACAAGTCAGTTTATCTGGTTGGAGCAGGAGGTTACAGAAGAGCTTGTTTGTATTAGTATTACACTCCCTTGTTCTCTCCCTTTGAACTTCTTCTACTTGGGAAGAGAAGCAGAGGAAGCTGCGGTAGCTTCACACCACTGCACACCTATGGTAACCGCTGAACTTGGCGGTGTGACTCAGCTGACACTGGTGCAAACAGGGACTTGACTGCTGCTCCTCAAGAACATACCAACTGATGAGTGATTTTAAGATGAACTTCCCTTCCCTGCATTAGATTCAAAGCTGAAAGGATTTTCAAGGAGCAGAAAGGTCTGTTTCCCACGAGAGCCTCAGGAGCCCAGAGATGCTACTGCAGTGCTTCATGTCACCTCGGTACCTGCTCACTCTGCAGAGCTGGAGAAGCACAGCCAGATGGGTTAGTTCAGCACAGTCCAGACAGGGACTCAACTGTTCAGCTCCAGGGAGTTTCTGTGGCTCTTGTGTACCAAATATGCAGCTGCCGGGGTTTGGATGGTGCTTCCAAAAGTGGAACCCATCTATCAGCTTCTAAAATAGCTCCAGACCCTCCAGGATCTGAAACAAAATATGCCAAATAAGAAACTTGACCAGAACTTCTATTTTTTCAAGTTAATAAGAGAACTGAGAAATGATGCTTACACTGAGGGTAGGAAAGTCTTTAGAATGGGGAAGAAAAACAGGCAAAAGTTTAGATTATTATAGAATCCCACTTGGAGCTGCAGCTTCTGCCACTACCAGGGGCCAGGCTGGGGGACCTGGCATTGCAGACCCCACTTGAGGTGTGAAGCTCCGATGCCATTCACTGGGAAACCAGGACGGAGCTTGCATGGGAGCACATTCCACATGAAATCACTGTCACTGAAGAGACAACTTCCAATGCTCTGTGCCCCCAGGACTCCAGTAATACCCAGGGTCTGTGCCAGTGCTCCAGGGCTGAGTTTGCACAAGGTGAGCTCCGGCCCTCAGGAAGATGCTGAGGAACAACTAAGGAGAACAGAGCCAATGAGCAATGAACCCTGTAGAGTTGTCCACTCCCAAAAGGTAGCTCACAGCTTACAAAGTACAGGGAAGTCCTCTTGGAAGGAAGATCTGAGTCATAAAGAAAGTGAAGAGAAGGGAGAAGACAGGGTGACAAGGACAGGGCTGAAATGGGGAAGCATCGTGTGGCCACAAAAAGTCCTGATAAGAGCTGTTAGTGCCGTGGATGGGGCTGTGGTGACCACTCACAGGCTCAGAACTCAAGAACATTTCCTAAAGTGGTTTGTCCTTCCTGCATTGTGGGGACAGAGCAGAAAATTGTCTGCAGTGTGATGGGTGTTGGGAAGAGGATGAGTCTTCTGTAACAGGGTAAGATGCTGTGCTTGAGCAGGCTGGTGTGACACGAGTGTGTGTGCAAGAGGCAGGCACAGCGCGCGCCTCCACATTCCCTTCGGGTTCCAACTAACAAAGCTAACCTGCTCCTCTCCCTTTTGCAAAGGTGGCCCAACGATGCCGAGCATATTCTCCTACCAGAGTGCTGAAGTCGACTGGTGTGAAGGCAACTTTGACCGCTCGAAAGTCATTGCCGAGTACTACAACACCGTGAGTGCGGGCACATGCCAAGGGCAGGCTGGGGCGCGAGCACCCATGAGCTGCTTCTGGGAGATGAGATGGGACAACCTTGTTTTCTTTCCTCTGCTCACTCCCTTGAACTTCCTGGTGTTCGAGGGTGCTCGTACAGGGAGCATTTTCTGAGTTTCAGGTCAATCATGGGACTTTCCTTGCTTACAACAGCCAGTTGGTCACAAAACGAGCTGGGGTCAGGGGCGCTTCTGGCATGTGTAGGGCTGAATTCCCAGTGAGAACACTCTGGCAGTGCTCCTTAGCCCAGATTTGTGAGATCCTGTTATACCAGTCCTGCAGCTCTCCTGCCAGCTGGGGTAAGTCCCACACAGGGTTCATATATTCCAGCTAAATGTACAGGAGTGGCAAAATGAGAGACAGCTCTTGCATGAACCGTGTCAGGCAGGTTGGGAATCCGGAACTCAAGACGGAGGAAAGCTGATGAATGAGCTGGTTTCACCTCCTACGATCCTTTTTAATTCAGGCTCCATCCAGTGCCAGTCCCTTGAATGAAGCTTTCTAGCTTAAGCATGGCTGGAAGCATCCGTATCTGTCTGCAGAGCACTTGGTGGATAAGCAGTCTCTGCAAGCATGTTCCTTCTACCTCAGTGCAATTACAGCCTAGCAGGGGTGTGAGGCATGTGGATTTACAACCTTCCAAAGGCCTTGTTTACAACTTTTAGCAATTACTGTCTAACACTAGAAGTTCTTGTTCTCATGGAAATGTCTCTTCCTCTTTATTTTTAAAGCATTTCCTGCTTTTAATAAATTGCCTGTAATAACAATAATTCCTCTACCCGCATCCCGCAGCTCCCCAGCTCTAATTGCCCAGCCAGGCTCTCAGAGGAGGGATGCTCAGGCTGTATATAGTCACTTCGCTTTGAGACAGCTAACAACTAATGATCTGCTAGTGCAGAGCAAATCCTGCATCCCCCCAGCATCCCACTGAACGTGTTGTGCTGTTGCATGTTTACTGGCACTGCATCCCCGTTGGACGGGCTCAGAGCTGCAAAGCAAGGAAAAACCAGCAAGAAGGTTACAGAAAGCCTTTATAGTCACACCAGCATTTCCTATGTAGCTGGGGGTGCCAAAGGCTGCTGTGTTTTGGAGTGTCACTGGCAGCATCAGAGAGTGGCTGATTCCCACACAGAGCAGGAAATCTGAAAGTTCTGGTTTGAATCTGAGCTCATTCTGAGAGATGAAAGTGCTTCACCTCCTGCTTTACTACATAGGCAGCATTCTCCAAATGTGCCCTTGGAGCTGAGACACCACTTTCATAAGGATCCTGATTTACACAAAGTGGCTCAGGATCCTGAACACACCAAGAAGCACCTCAGGAGCTCAGCAAAACACTTCCTTGTGTAACTTCCAGACATCAGTTGGTGTGGCCAGATGCATAACTATCTTTCTTAGGGCCCAAAGCCCTCTAATTCCCATAAAACATTAACTCACAGATTCCTAGGTGGTTTTGTGGCCCAAGTTTCTATATTATGCAGCTGTTCCTGAAAATCTTACCCAGGTGCCTACTGTGGACTGAGGTCCCTGCTAGCCACAACCATCTCCCATGTTTCCATACCTTCGAGGCACTGGGCTTGTCAGAGGGACTTTTCACTTGGTAGGACTCAGACACACTTTCCTTCAGGAGAGGAGAACTTCTCCAATGCATCTTTCCATACAAACTAGTGCAATATCCAGGAACACAGAGACACTGGGACAGAGCAAACCCTGCAGGATTTTTTACAGTGATTAAACTAGCTCTTGTTCCTCTCTATATGGGAACACAGGACATCTCTTTCCCAGCAAAGAGCTTGTTTTGGTCCCTGCACTTACCTCCTTCTTGCCAGGCTGCTTTAACCAGCCCACGGAGCTCAGCAGGGTGCCTGTGCAGGCACAGGGTACCACTTCTGCAGCTTCTGTCTTAAGATGCAATTTCTGTTTAGAGAAAGCAGCAAAGATCTAAACCTGCATCAGGGCTGGCACATGATCTCTTGTCCACACAAGAGGAGACAAAATAGCAAACCCTCCTAAGGGCCAGGCCTTGCAACCAAAAGCAGGCAGGAGCATCACTTACACGGGCATCACCCCTTCATCACACGCTGGCTGTCATCGCCTGGCTCCCACCCCTGGCAGCAGCACCAGGGGAGCTCTCTTCGTGCTCTGGGCTCTCTCGCAGGGTCAGGATCCTTGTGATGTGCCCTAAAGTGGGGACCACAGGAATTGGAACAGACTGAGATCCTCAGCTACCCCTGCTGCTGGCAGCATGTTGCATATCCAGGGCTCTCTCTCAGTTGTGATCCTTGCAGCATAGATTTCCTCTTCTCTCTTCATTTGTTTCCTATATTCAGATTGCTTCCTCCCTATGGCAAGCTTTATGGGCCTTATCTCACTGGCCTGCCCTGAGGTAATGATATCAATATCGACTTCAGCATCAGTTAGCCAGACATTTAGACTGGCTGGGAATCCTGCCCAAGACTCCTGCACCACTAAATCAGCAGGGTTTCCTAACGGAGCATCCTCTGCAACATCTTCTTCCCAGGGCTCAAGCAGGGCAGCCTTGTGCCCGCAGCAATGAGCTGCTGAGATTTGCTCTGTGCGAGCCTCTCAGGTCTGCTTGGGTTGGATGTTTTTTATTAGACATAAGCACTAAAGGTATGAGCAAAGAATGTAAACAGTATCTTTAAGTACCTAATAATACACAGTGGCTCATGACTGGGTGCAGTTCAGCAACAAAGCACTAACTATTTATAGTGACTCAGTGACGCAGAAATTTGTTGTCTTCTGGCTGTTTGTAGGAGAACCATATTGTGCTCCATGAGGGTCATCAGTCAGGGACTTGTCTTTCTACCCTCATCTCTTTCTGAAAAGGCTGATCCAGGATGCTGGTAATGACACCCAAATCCTCAGCATCGCTCTCAATCTGCCCAGGAAGCCACGTGCAGGAATACGGCAGCTCCTTGCCTGGCACTCTGCAGACACTACACAACTGCTGCTTCCTGCCCCAAAGCACCAGCATGACACACAGCTACACAGGTCTGGCTATGAGGAACTTGCTGTACAGGTCTGGAGAGCCTCTGAGGTGTTCACTTTGGCCCTGTGGGCTCTTCTGCCAGCTAAAGCTGGTTGGCTGGCCTGTAAGTGAATGAATGCACTGCAATGAGGCGTGCAGAAATCTCCTTTCACTGTGGAAAACACCTGTCTTGTGTCAGGACCAGCACATGCCTTGGCTGCTATTGCACTGCTGCCATGCTCACAGGGCCAGGCAGAGCCCTGCAATCCAACATCTCCTCTTTCAATCCTTATCAGAGGCTTGTTCTCACCCTGGCATGGGTGGAGATGCAAACAGGTTCTCTGCAGGTCTTTCCCTCCATCTTAGGCTGCAAAGTGCTGAGTTGCAGAAACCCCAGGGCTTTTCCAGTGATCCTACTAATGCACCAGGATGAGAGGCATGTCACTGATCCCAGACTCCCTTTTCTCCTAGTGAAAGAAGCAAATGCCAGTATATGCAGTCTTGGCTTAGGGACCTGGAGCAATTAACCACACTTGTTAGGAAGTAGGACATCACTGTGAGCTCACACAGTGGAAAACCACAGAGCTGGGTGACTCTTGCAGGTCAAATTGCACCTTGGCTCCATCACCACCCTCTTACCTCCCTGGCATCTCTGGCAGAGGGAGCTGGTGCCTCCTGGCCAGTATGACCAGGTACAAGTAGAAGCTGTGCTGGGGGGACTCAGAGCAAGCAGAGACTCTGCAAAAACTTCCTAAAGGGAGTACAACAAGCAAACCCCTCCTAATCACACTTGAGACAGAGCTTGCCACGTCCTGGAGGGAAGGTATAAGACAGCACTTAAATCAGGGCTTGGATCCGATGAGGGATGAAGACCCTGTGTCCTCCATAGATGTGGTTTTCATAGAATGGTTTGGGTTGGAAAGGACCTTAAGATCATCTAGTTCCAACCCCCCTGCCATGGGCACAAACACCTTGCACTAAACCATGTCACCCAAGACTCCGTCCAACCTGGCCTTGAACACTGCCAGGAATGGAGCTTTTACCACATCTCTGGACAACCTGTGCCAGTGCCTCACCACTCTCACAGTAAAGAACTTCTTCCTTATACCTAAGCTGAACTTCCTCTGTTTCAGTTTAAACCCATCACCCCTTGTCCTACCACTACAGTCCCTGATGAAGAGTCCATCTCCAGCATCCTTGTAGGCAACTCCTTGTGGGAGTTTTGTAGTGGCTCTCCCCTAAGCTCTGAGTTTGGCTGCTCTGCAAGGAACCACTTTAATCTTTTTGACCTTATTGGCACAATCCCTATCCCTCCCCTCTGATATCTGATCTTGCACATCTCATACTGAATTAATGAAGTGATAATATTGCTATCATGTAATTAATGTCCCTGTTGCAATGCCCGCTGCAGCAGAGATCCAGAGCTCTCCATGTGCAGCCTCAGACTCCCACATTTCCTCACGCTGATGTGCATGCTGGCACTTGCACACTGCTGCCTCTTCTGCAGGCATTTGCTCTCTTCCTGCTATCCCTGCTCGTCCTCCAAAAGCGTCTTTAACCATTTCACAGGAAAATAAGTGTTTGCAGCACAGTTGTTACTTTAACACAGCATTTGGTTTCTCCATCATTTCTGAATGGGTTGACCTCAAGTGTGCAAGTGGGAGCAGCACTTCTCTTTTCATATCTGGAATGGGAATAGGCCTGGATTTGCCTCTAAGAACTCATGGAAAACCAATAGATTCAGCTTGAGAATTGCTGTTAATGGGAGCATCAACTTGTTTCATGAAAGCCTTAGTGAAATTCAAGATTAATCTCCAGGTGTTAAAGAGAATAGACACCTTACATTAAGCATGTTTCCCTCTGGAATATGAGAGGGGGTGTTTCACATATATGACAACATCCCTGTGACTTGCAGCCCAGTTACCACAAACTCGGATCCCATGGGACATCACAAGCCATGCATCAATTTTGCTGTGTACCTGGTGCGTGTGAGGGCTGCTGGAGAGGGAGACTCCAGCTGGGAATGTCAGATTCCAGGCTCAGGGTCTTGGTCAGTATCTAGCTGGAAGATGAAAGGAAAAGGTTTGTCAGGGTGAGATAAAACCTACCAAGCAGATGGCTCTGCCCTGCTCTTCCAAAGAGCTGTCTGACAGGTAAAAAGCAGCAGTACGGCCCCAGCCCTTCATAAGTAAGAACAGTTTTCCCGGAGGAGGCTGGGCTTCCCTGTGATATCCCTCCTCTGAGTATGCAAAACCAGGTGAAAAAATCAGGGTAAGACCCCACTGAGGGTGCGGATGTTTCAAACCTCATTCCCTCCTCAGCTGCAGGGCCTGATCCAGCAGACAGGTCCTGGCTTCGGGCACTCGCTGCTCCTCCCCAGCTCCCACATTTTGCCCCTCAGCATCTGCTGTTCCCCGAAGCAGCAGCAGCAGTGCCCAGTGCCATTCCCTCCTCCCCAGGGAAATCCATGTCTGTCAGCAAAACCCTTCTGCAGAGCAAAAGAGAAGTCAGGGCACAATAACTTCACTGTGCTCATTTGCAGGTATGTTTAAGGGAGGGTTATGACTTCATGTAATGACTAGTGTTAAGAATACCACCCCCCTCCAGGCCAGATGGCTTCGCACATGACTCTACAGGACGTCACCTCAATCCTGCCAGTTCTCACCTATGATGTGCTGCTTGTCCTGCTGTTCTCCACCCCCAGGGAACAGCAGTTTTCCTGACTGGAAACACATCCTCACCCCCACCCAGCCCTTGCAGGCTGCTGGCTGAGAGGGTTAGAAGCCACCCAGGGGATTTCTGGCAGGTCTGGGTTGACAGGAGAGGGAGATGGCTGCAAACAGAAGAGCTTTGGGAGCTTGCTTGAGGACACTGAGCAGCTGAAGCTAAACCATCAACCAAAAGGGGCACCACAGAGGTACCTGGACAGGGAGCACAGATGTCTGCAGCCATTCTTGACACAGCAAGAGCTGTGCTTCCAGTTCCAGCCTCAGTTCCAGAGAAACGCCTCTGCCCTCTCCCTGTGCCAAGAGTGATACCTGCTTCCATGCAATGCTTTCCACTAGTATCCTCTTCACACATGGAGATCCCGAGGCACGGGGTGGGATGGGTCTTGCCCAAGATCATGCAATAAGCTGAATGTGCCTCTTGTTTTTCAGATCAGCAATGTAAGCTTCTTTGTCCTTTCTCCTGCCCTGCTCTACCTGAACCGGCAGTACTGTCAGCAGCGTGCCTTGCCCTTGTATTTCGTCTCTGGCCTGCTCTTCTGTGTAGGTGGGTGCCAAGGTTGTCAGAAGACCAGACAGGTTGCCAGAGTACCTGACTGGTCATTCATGACACCTCTGGAGCCTGGTTCTTAGTGGCCAAAGGACAGGGACGAGCTGGACTGGGAAACTGAACAGCCATGTCTGCTTGAAGCCCTGCAGCTCATGGTTCCTGCTGTGGGTGCACAGCTTCCAGCCCAGTAAAGCCCCGTGGTGCTGTGTGCACTGACTCACTCAGGCCTCCACTAACACCAAGGTCCATGCCCTGCTCTTCAGGAAAGGTGTGTCTTTAGGAATGGCCCCCAAGAGCTTCCCAGGCCAGAGAGGCCACGCGAGGATGGAGCTTTGCTGACACAAGCTGTCCTTTGCTCCTTTCAGGAATCTTCTCCATGTACTTTCACATGACCCTGAGCTACGCGGGACAGCTCTTGGATGAGCTCTCCATCCTCTGGACACTGGCTGTGGCATATGCCGTTTGGTACCCAAGGGTTTACTTCCCCAGGTGCATCAAGAGCAGGTATGACTCTGAGGGATGAAGGGTTGGAGGCTCTCAGGGATGGGGCATTGACATTGACGCCTGTGACCCACAGATCCCCCCCTGCCCACAGCCAGCTCCCCTGCAAGGGCTCAGCATTGAGGCTACTGCAGTTGCTTTGGGATCAGATGCTCCATCACTCAGTGGTGGATGTGCTGACAGGAGAAGAGTAAGAAACCCTCCCATGGGGAAGGGCTGTGCTGAGCTCCTGTTGACTGGAGCTGTTTGTCCTTGTGAAGCTGCAGAGGAAACTTTGCATGGAGAATTTAAACATTCATTAGGAAATTAAACGTTCCTGAGCACTGCCATTCAACCACCCGTGCTTCCAACTGTTACAGCAGCCTGCCATCCACAGAGAGCTTTCCTTGAGGGCTGCTGGGGTTTCCCATAGGACAAGCTGGTGCAGGTTAACACCTCACATGTCACAGGTTGTTTGCAGGAGGGCTAGCTGGGCAAGGGGAGCCCAGCAAGAAGGATGGAGACACTGGCTGAGCACACATCAGCAGGACAGGAACCCAGCCTTGCAAAGACCTGCTTCACGCCTGCTCTTCCCATGCCAAAGAGGAGGTCACCAGGAGTTCACTGTGGAGACATGGTTGCGGGACAAGGGAAGGAACTTGGGAAGGGATTTGCATGTGAAAGGCCCCTCTGAGCCCTATTGTTGCTCAGCCAGCCCAATTCTGCATCTTTCCAGCTCAGGCCCCTGCCCAGCACTGCTGGGACTCCTGCCTCACTGCCCTTCCCTGTGCAAAGCTCCAGGTGCCCTGGCCTCTTGATGGTCATCTCTGGCATCACCATGGAAGTGCACAAGTTACCTTCAGGGCCATGTTCCCCACTGTGTCATGGACTAACCAGGGGATTTTGGGCAAAGCACAGCTACAGACAGACAACTCAGCCTTCCCGCCAGGACTACTGCAGAGGCTGAGTCAGCCACGTGCAAACAGATTGGAGGTGCTGGAGAAGGTTTGCTCTCTCAGGCTATAAGCAGGACCTCTCCTATCCTTATCCTTCCATACTGTGAATCCTGGGGACACTGACACTCAATCCCAACTACCCAACTCTCTTTAGGAAGCATTTCTTCTGGTTGAGTGGCATCACCACCGTGATCAGTACCTTGATGTCCTTCATCAAACCAGCCTTCAATGCCTACGTGCTCAACTGCATCGCCTTCCACCTGCTGTACCTGACACGGCGTGAGCTGAAAAAGTAAGGAGAGGGCTGGGAGAGGTTATCTGCAGGTCCATCATACCTCCTGCCAGGCTCACACGTGGCAGTGACTGTGCACAACAGTGAATCAAGCCCAAGCCTTCATCAGAGCCACGTGTTGTGCTATCAGCTCTGCAAAGAATTGGGGCAGCCTGGGCGGGACAAGGACAAGGCATGAGCAGGACTGTGGGCAGTGGGATACCAGAAAGCCATCTGGTCTGGGTGCCACACAGAATGGGGACAAGTGTATCTTCTTCTCCCCAGCTACCACCCGTGCAGCTTTTTCCCTTTGCAGGGCATTTGGGAAGCAGTGTGGGACTGGCAGAACCCACCAGGATGTGGGGAGAAAGATAGGAGTGCCTTGGCATCTCCCAGCATCATCCTCACCCACAGAAAGTCAGAAACCCTCCCGACAGAGCCATACTTCTTGTGGCCTGATGGATGTTCTCCTGAACAAACTCCCTGGGGTTTGCCCTGACACATTAGCATGTGCAGGCAGGAACCAGTCCTCTTTAAAACTCTCTTTCCTCCCACCACAACACTCAGCTTCCTCTCCCACTCTGTGTCTTCCAGGTGCAAAGACAAAAGGGTTCACCGGATGGCCAAGGTCATGGTGATGTGGTGGGTACTGGCCATCAGCAGCTGGATCAGCGACCGGTGGCTCTGTGGGCTCTGGCAGGCCATCAACTTCCCCTACTTCCACAGCTTCTGGTAAGGGCTCCAGTGCAGAGGCACCAACCCCAGGCCAAACATTTCAAGAGCTGAAGGGCCATTGCTAAGGAGAAACAGCAGCAGGGATGAGATACTCGATCAGACCAGCCATGCCTCTGCCCAACCCTCTCCCCCTTTCCTCTGTCACTACTGATGCTGCTCCTCACCCTGGCCCCGGCCCAAGGATTTGGCCCTAATTACTGCTTGCTCTCCCTTCCCTCCTCCGCACCAGTCAAACGGTGTTTTGCAAGTGAAATGGTTCTGCAAGTCCCTCCAGGTAAGCAGCTTCCTTTCAAAGGGCTGCATCTGCTCCCTGGAAGCTGCATGAGGTGCAGTGTTCTTGGAGTTATTTTAATAGCCAAACTGAAAGACAGTGATTTGCTTGGGCAAGACACTTCAGTGCCTGGCCAAGTGTGACTCCAAGTGCTGCACACAGTGTGTGTTCTCAGACTCATCCTCACAGAGCACTGGATGACTGGGTCAGATACGCAGCACTGCTGGGCCAGGACAGGGTGGGATGGGTGCTTTGGTTTGGGGCTTAAGTCTCCTGTATCACCCATTCCCTCTGCAAAATGAAGTGCCCCCACCCCAGCTCAAAGAGCTCTTCCAAGACCCACATTCCCTCCAGCCCACATGCATCATGGGGCTGGGACCTTTACCTGTCACTGCCATACCCCTTGGCTCCTAGCCTCATGGTGCCAATGCCAGCCACACGCTGCTGCAAGGTGCAAGAGGAGCAAATGGAGTTACCACCATCCAACACATATCTTTCTGGTTTCCTTGCCAGGCATATTCTGATAGCCATGTCCCTCCTATACTGCTGCCCACTGGTCATCTACTTTGACATCAACTACGAGATGCCAACATTCAAGCCAAAGCTAGGATATTGGCCCAGTGACTCTTGGCCTGTTGTGGTGCCTTACATTATCCTGGAGGAGCCCCACAAGCAGTGCTAGAGCTTGTGGCATCCCTCAGGCATCCCTCGGGCATGGGGTGAGTGATGCACACGTGTGTCTGCACGGGAACACCGCAGCTGTGTGCCTGTTCCTCAGCCAAGGGCAATGTGGCTAATGATGGGGCAGGGAGCATCTAGAGGCTTTGTGGTGCTGGGCATGAAGCAGAGTGGGTGCCCACAGATGCCTTGGAAGACTCTGCCCAGGCTGGCTCCGGGGAAACAGAGATCTCCTCCTCCAGCAGATCCCCACTGAGAAGGGGAGGGAGATGGTGCTGCTTCTGTGTCTTCTGCATTAGTCAAGCCATGGCACCCTTTGCTGACAAGGGCAGAGTGGAGAACACAGAAGCCAAACTGGTGACAGCTGGGTTTGTTGGGGCTGCTCTCATTATTATTATTATTAATTTTATTTATTGATGTACGTGGTCTTGCTCAGGAGAGCTGTGCATTAAAGCTACGGACACGGACTTGCATGGAGCCCCTTTCTTTCCCCTGACTGCACCACATCCCGTGTTATCAGCCAGTCGCTCCCCAAAACAGGGCAAAGCTCTCTCTGACCTACACAGAGCCATTTATAGAGAAATCCTCCTGTGTGACAGCCCAAAGGAGGCTCTGCTGCCCAGGTCCTGGGGTGCTCTACCTCAGGCTCTATCCCTTCTTCAACCTCCAGTGTTCTTACCCAGCTCTGTTCCGATGGCCATGTGCAACCTGGAGCCTCCTCTGCTTGCCGAAAGGCTGGTGGCAGAGACACACACTCTTGTTCTGGGGGCCTTGCTGCATGACAGTGACGAGTTGAACCATGTCATGGGGCTGGGTCCTCTGAAGAGCACCTTGAGGCTGGCAGAGTGGCTGTGGTTGGCTCCCTGCAACGCAGCCAGAACAAGGTAACGTCACTCCAGGGTCCACAGGCTTTTTGGGTCCCTGTGAGTAAAGTTACTGTGTTCAGTTTTGGTCCCCACTATACAAAAAAAGATGTGGACAGGAAGGAGAGGGTTCAGAGAAGGGCCATAAAGATGATCCAAGGGCTGGGAAGCCGCGAGATGAAGGGCTGGGAGAGCCTTTCTCCATTCAGCCTGGAGAAAAAAAGGCTGAAACCTTCTCACCACGTTTAGTATTTAAAATGTGGCTACAAAAAAGATGGAGGCTCCCTTTTCACAATGAGTCACACGTTAAAGACGAGGAGTGATGGGCACAAGTTACTCCTGGGGAGACTGGCCACAAGAGGAAACCTTCTCACCATGAGAGCAATGAACCATTGGAATAATCTCCCCAGGGAAGTGGAGGATTCCCCAACACTGGACACTGTTAAGATTCAGCTGGACAGGGTGCTGGGACATCTAGTTTTAGTCATGCTTTGCCAAGCAAGGTTGGACCAGATGATCCTTGAGGTCCCTTCCAACCTGGTATTCTATGATTCTATGAATAAAGCAAAACCAGAAGCACCTTGGGCTTAAACTCTGAGGCACAAGATGCTGTGCAGGTACCACACAGTGTGCATGCAGTGGCCCTGCTGGTTCGTGGGTCCCTCTGCAATGGTCCCCAGAGCCACTAGATGGCAAATTTGGCTCATGAACCCTATGAGCAATATTTCATCTTGGGGAAAGAGATGCCTTGTGCAAGGACTGAACCTCCAGGCCTGGTCCCTCTGCCCTCTCCATCCCCCAGCACAGGGGTCAGACACCTCTGCACCAGGATGTCCACTGAGGAGACACCAGCACAAGGTGGGACTTGGAGTTCCAGCCTTTTTCTGCCCTTGCCACCCATGCTGCTGCCCATCTCTTCACCTCTTTGTGTGCCCTGCACGCTGTCACTCGTGCCTCTCCCCTCACCACCCCATCTCCCTTTCACTGACCCTCCCTGTTTCGCTCCCTCTTGCTCTCCCCCCTCCTCACCCCTTCCCCAGCCCATCACATTCTTCTACAGCCTATTAATAACTTCTGGGCAATTGCACCGGGTCCCCGCTGGGCTCAGCCCCTCGCTCGGCTCC